TTTTTAAAAAATTAAGTCAAAGGTATATCACAGAATAGTGGAGGACCTGAGGGCCATCAGGCCATAAGCCTCCTCTAGACTCATATCCAAGCTGCAAAATAGGGGGCCCCTGGAAGTGACAATGTCCTCTAACTTTTGGAGGGAAGGCTCCATCCAAAGAGCTCACAGTCATATCAAGCCTACACAAGAGGACAAATGTCCCTGACTTTGTTCCTAGACCATAAGGAGCCCAGTGGGGAGGTCCAGGGGTTTCCTTCCCTTTGAGGCCCTCAAGCCATACAGACCACTGTATTCTCTGTCTTTGTGGATGAGCCCTGAATGACCTAGAGCAGTGGTCCTCAACCTTCCTAATGCTGGGACCCTTTAATACAGTTCCTCACGTTGTGGTGACGCCCAACCATAAAATTATTTTTTGCTGCTACTTCATAGCTATAATTCTGCTGCTGTTATGAATTGTAATGTAAATATCTGATGCTCAGATAGTTTTGGGCAACCCCTGTGAAAGGGCCATTCAATTCCCCAAGGGGTCAAGACCCATAGGTTGAGAACCTCTGCCTTAGCTGGCCTAAGACCCAGTCATTTATCTTGCTAAGTCATTAAACCTGGTGAGATGGATCTCACCAATTGTCTCACATCACCCACCCAGCCTCACAACTGTGGCTGTCATCCTGGGTCAGAGTATGATGTCTTACATACTCCACCAGGTCCCAGAAACTCTGAACAGAAGACCTTCCCCTGGGTCTCAGCTGAAAGAATCAACAAATACCAGAGTCCTCAGCCCTTCCTATAAAGCTAAGCCAGACTTTAAGTTCTGCTGACTATTCTATGCCAATTTCCCACTAACTGAAACATTCCCCGGGGGTTGTGAGGAGAGGGTAGGGTGGGTAAACCAAAGATCACATGTCTGGGAACGTAAACACTTAGAAGACTCTAGAAGCCTCCTCCCCAGCTTCATAGAAAGTAAACAATTTCTGGGGAGGAGTCTCTAACCCTGACCTGAGGTGATGTCTATCATCTGTGCAGAGTCCTCACCACACTGAGGTGGATGCTTCGGAGGAGCAGCTACTTCTGAATCATCCCTGATCCTTTGTCAGGAACCCTTCACTCATACCCTCATTAGTAACGTCAATAAAAATTTATTGGTTCACCACATTGAACTCTAGTGCAATGATAATTTTGGTCTGTCACGCCCCCTCCCACCCACGTGTGTGTGTGTGTGTGTGTGTGTGTGTGTGTGTGTGTGTGTGTTGTGCATCTCACCAGGAAAAATCAGTCACACAACAGTACTGTAGTGTCAAATCTAACCCCAAGACCCTTCTAAAACATTCTGTATAGAAAACACTGACCTTGCCTGAGGTACTAAACCAGATTTTAAACAAGATTCCTGCTTGCCCAGCCTGAAGCTGCCCGATTCCCAGACGGTACAGTTTTATGGGGGCAGGATATGAGCTTTCATAGAAAGTGACAGTGAGTTTCACAAAGGTCAAAGGATCTGAGGCCCATTATGGACTATCCCACATCAGCTCAAAAAAACAGAATGAATTGCTTTCACTATGGCTCTCCAGCTGGAGACAGGTTGAGATTTCTCATCTACACTGTATTCAACTTATGCTTTCCCATACCCGTACTTCTATCTGAAGCGAAAGAAGTCTGTTGAAGCGCACAGCCCAGGACAGGTATGGTGGTGCACACCTTTAATCCCAGCTCTCGGGAAGCAGAAGCACTGGATCTCTGTGAGCTCAAGGTCTACCTGGTCTACATAGTTCCTAAACAGCCAAGATTACAGAGAGAGAGAGAGAGAGAGAGAGAGAGAGAGAGAGAGAGAGACCCTGTCTTAAAGCAAAAACAAAAAACACCTCCCAGCCCATAATACTTTGACTAAACCCTCCAGTTCTTTCCTAAGAGTTGCCATGGTCATGGTTGTCTCTTCACAACAACGGAACGGCGACTAAGACAGGTGCTTACCACCAACACCGACAGCATGACTTCCATCCCTGGGACCTGCTGGGCTGAGAGAACCAACTCCGCAAAGCTGTCCCCTGCCCTCCGTGCATGCACGCTAAGGTGTGAGCGTGAAGAATGGAATCTACCACTAGACGGAGACGAGCCATCCTCTCTTCCCTTAAGACGTCTCCAACGGAGCGGGTCGGTCACCCGGCCAAGGGTCCAGCATGAGGAAGGCGAATCCACCTTAAACCATGCTAAAGAATTATAAGTAGTAATTATCCCTGTGATGCGATACTGTACTTTGTTTCCCCAGAATTCCTGCTCTGACGCAGTCCCTACAAGCTATTGCGTGGTTCGGCTGGATCTGTCCGCCTTTCAGAATCCTGACTTTTTCTACTCTTTTTCTTCTGGATACTGACCAGAACCTAAGCATGCTTTCCCTTGGGACTTTGGGCTTCTTGCTTTGCTCCACTCCCCACCCTGTGGCTGACCTCCACGCTGACTTAATTCAAACAGCGTGGGCGTTGTTTGTCCTCTCTTCTCGATTGTCCTCCTCTGCGCAGCTGCTGGGATTTACAGCTTGCCTGTCGTGGGGGTTTTCTTTTGAATTCTAATAGGTTGTTCCTTGAGCTGGAGTTATAGGCAGTTGAAAGCTACCTGATGTGGGTGCCGAGAACTGAACTGGGGTCCTGTGTAAGAGCAGTTTGTGAGCTGCTGAGCCATCTCTCCAGTCTGTGAGTGGCATTTTACATGAGACAGACTATGACAGTGTGCAAGCATGTAGAAGTAAACTTCAGATCATGAAACTTGAACACACTCGCCATATACATATATGTGTGTGTGTATGTGCGTATATGTGTGTAATTTGACTTTACATATATATAATGTATATACATAATATATACATTATATATAATGTATATACATAATATATACATTATATATAATGATTTGTTTTTAAGGTTTGCTTTTATTATTTTCAATCATGTATACGCATAAGTACCTGTTAAGACAAGAAGTATTGATCCCCTGGAGCTGGAGTTACAGGTGATATGAGGTACTTAACATGGATTATACTGGGAACCAAACTTGAATCCTCTGCAAATGTGGTATCAGCAATTAACCCTAAAGCCACCCCTCCAGACCCCAGATACAGAAAATTTGTATATAGGGTTGTGATGTAAACTTTGTCCTTACTCTGTCCCTGTCCCAAAATATTAAAATATTTTTTAAAAAGAAAGAAAGGGCTAGGTGGTGGTGGCACACATCTTTAATCCCAGCACTTGGGAAGCAGAGGCAGGAGGATCTCTGTGAGTTTGAGGCCAGCCTGGTCTGGTCTACAGAGCTAGTTCTAGAACAGCCAAGGCTACCAAAGAAACCCTCTCTTAAAAAATAAAAAAATAAATAAAAACATAAATAAACAAAAGAAAAAAGAAAGAAGGAAAAAAGGAGAAGGGGACATGAGGAAATTATTGTTTCTGTCTTTTTTCCATGTGTTGGAAACTCTGTCTCAAAAAACCAAAACAAACAAACAAACAAAAACCACAAATCTGAATCTTCATCTCCATGATGTGGAAAGAGAAGGGGTGGAAGTTGAGACTCATAATGCAGGAGAAGGTACGTGCTCCACTAGAGTTGGAGCAGAATTAGTAGGCATGTTGGGTAGCAGGAATTGCTTCCAGACTTGTGTGAATAAGAAACGTTGTTTAGTCCGATAAAACAGAAAATTTAAATTAACAAAGTCAGGAGATACTGGAAGGCAGCCGTGCTCCGGTAGGTAAGAGACATAAGGTGAAAACGGGCAGCAAGAACGCTTAGTGTTGTTTTTACAACTTGGGGGCAGCCAAGAGCCGAGTGGGAAGCAGACCAAGAGAGATGGTTTCCAGGTCAAAGTTCTACTATGCGAGCTCTGTTTACCGTTGCCCTGGCAATGGATCCCCGTTGAAGGCAATGAAGGATCTAGAGGAGCCTCTTACAAATGTGGTTATAATTCAGGGGCTCTGCTTAGTCTCAGTTTGGTCCACTTTGGGGTAAGGTCGGAGGAGGAGTTAAAAAGGATTTGGTTGGGGCCAAAGAGATGGCTCAGCGGTTAAGAGCACTGGCTGCTCTTCCAGAGGTCCTGAGTTCAATTCCCAGCAGTCACAAGGTGGCTCAGAACCATCTGTAAGTGGGGGCGGCGGCGGTGATGGCGGTGGCGCACGCCTTTAATCCCAGTACTCGGGAGGCAGAGCCAGGAGGATCTCTGTGAGTTCGAGGCCAGCCTGGACTACCAAGTGAGTTCCAGGAAAAGCTACACAGAGAAACCCTGTCTTGAAAAACCAAAAAAAAAAAAAATCTGTAATGAGATCTGGTGCCCTTTTCTGGCCTGCAGGCATACATGCAGACAGAATCCTGTATACATAATAAATAAATCTTTAAAGAAAAAAAGGCTTGGTTGGCAAACAAGGGAGATGTCATGAAGAAAATGATAGAGCTTCTGCTTCCTGTCCTCCATGGAGAAGCTTCTCCACCATATTGTTCTACTTCATTACCAGCCCAGAAACATAGAACCAAGTGCATGGACTGAATCCTCTTAAACTGGAGGCAGAGGTAAACAGTTCTTGTTTTTGTTTCTGTCAGGTGTGTGGTCGCTGTGATACAAAAGTAACAAATGCATCAACACTTCTGGAGCTTCTCATTGTCCAGACAGCATTAGGTCAGTAAACACCCTTCAAAAAGAGTTTTCCAGCTGGGTAGGGTGGCTCATACCTGTTATCCTGGCACTCAAGAGGCTGAGGCAGGATCATTTCTGCAAGTTCAGGCTATTTTTAGTTATAGAATGAGACTGTTTCTAAAACGCCAAAACTTTTTTTTTTTTTTTGAGACAGGGTTTCTCTGTAGCTTTGGAGTCTGTCCTGGACTAGCTCTGTAGCCCAGGCTGGCCTCGAACTCACAGAGATCCGCCTGCCTCTGCTTCCCGAGTGCTGGGATTACAGGCATGCGTCACCACAGCCCCGGCAAAACGCCAAACCTTAATTCTTGATTTTTATTTAAGTTTGCCAGGGGCCTGGGGTTGTACCTTAGGGGTAAAGTACTTGCTAAGCATATACAAGGGCATAGGTTCAGTGCCCTGTGCTAAAAAGCAAAAAAACAAAACATTGGAAGAAAAACGAGGATTTGAATCCTCCAAATTTGGGGTCCTGGAGAGATGGCTTAGCAGTTAATAGTACTGGCTTCTCTTCTAGAGGACCTTGGTTTAGCACCCACATCATAGCTCAGATCCAATCTGTAGTTCCAGTTCCAGGGGATCATATGTCCTCTTCTGACCTCTTTGGGGAGCTAAGCTATATATATATATATATATATATATATATATAGCAGCCAAGGTGAATCTCTGAGTTCGAGGCCAGCCTGGTCTACAAAGGATAGCCAAAGTTACACAGAGAAACCTTGGCTCGAAAAACCAATATATAATGCATGTAAGCTGTGGGCTGTCTTTCTGTACACTGCGAATATATGGTTGTTCCCATTGGTTAATAAATAAGATGCTTTGGCCTATAGCAAGGCAGCATAGAGGCCGGTGGGAAATCCAAGGAGAGAGAGACGGGAAAAAGAAAGGCAGAGTCTGGAGAGAGAAGCCAGCAGCAGCCAAAGGAACAACAAGATGCCAGCAGACCTGTAAAGCCACAGCCACATAGCAACACATAGATGTATAGGAATCGGTTGAATTAAGTTGTAAGAGCTAGCTAGCAAGAAGCCTGAGCCATAGGCCATGGCCATACAGTTTATAATTAACATAAGCCTCTGTGTGTTTACTTGGGATGGAGCAGCTGTGGGGCCAAGCGGGGACACAGGAAAATGTCTGACTACATATGTACATATGTATGTATGTATGTATGTATGTATGTGTATGTATATGTATATACATATATATATATACATATATATATAATTGTTTTCTAAGTGTGGTAGAATGAACCTATGCTCACAGCAAAGCCGGAAAGAAAGGAAAAGAAGGGGAGAGGGTAGAGGGGGATGGGAGGGAGGTGATATGAGGGGGGAAGGGGTTTTCAAGAGAGGATAAAGTCACTAACATTAACTGAACATCATTTACCACAGGCCAGCCACTGCTTTTAATCCTTCAACAACCCTAATAATGTGGTATTAAACCATTTTACAATCAAAGGAAATATGGTAGTGCTGTCCACTCCCCTGGGAAGTCTAGGAGAGGACCCAGCAGGAAGCTACCATGCAAAAGGGTGAGGGTGGTTAATCCAGTGGAGTCTGGACGCCTGGAGCCTTCTGCAGGGGCTAATCACCAATGATCCCGGCTTCTCTGCCCATCTCCAGACAGGATCTTCTCATCCCACATGCCTACACCCAGTTTTGCTGAGGCAGGAGGCCACCAAAAGTGGAGTTCCTGCTATGCCAGTCAAAAGTAACTAAGATGCCCAAGCAGATGAGGACCAGCCCCGCCACTCCCAAACGAATGAGGTTTCCCTGAGTATAGTCCGAGGAGCCGGAACCTATGGGCCAAAGAGAGGGAGACACGGTGTTGGTGCCGTACCCCAGAGTCTTGATGCTCTTCTGCATATCTGAGACACAGGTGGAGTTGTAGACTTCAACTCCCACGTCTCTAAATTGGATGGGGTTGATGTCCCTGGACCCTTGGGTCTGAAGAAGGCCCAGAGCACCTCACCTTCGGAGCTGATGACCAGCGGCGGGCTGCGCTGTGACAGCACATAGGGCGCAGATGGTGTGTGGTAATAACAGCTGTAGGTGCCCGGAGCATGGGCGCCCGTCAGAGGGAAGTCAGCCCAGGGATACACAGAGTCGATGTACTGCAGAGGGGTTGCCACACCCACGCGGTACAGCGCAAAACTCATGCCCGGCACGCGGCCTGCACAGCGCAGGCTTATGTTGGCTCCTGGAGCTACCACAGGCCCAGGCAATGCAACCAGCGTTGGTCTGGGCAGCTGATCTGTAGAACACAGGCAAGGTTGTAAGTAGGCTGGCTTGTCTGTCTCTCTTCGCCCTCCCCTTCCTCCTCCCTCCTCTTCCCCTATGTTCAAGCATCTCTTATTCTACCTCCCTGCCGTCTCTCTCCTTGTGTCCCTCTTCCCCGCCACACCCACCCTCCACCTTAACCTCACTCCTGCGCCCTTCTCCAATTTCTCCCGGATCTCACCTGTCACCAGCAGTTCCAAGACATTGCTGGACTGGGACCAGACACCGGGTCCCCAGTCTGTCCTGCGATAGCGGCAGTAATAACTGCCTCCCTGGGCCAGAGCCACTTCCTCCAGGAAGAACTCAGCCAGCTCCGCGGCCACATCCCGGAAGAACAGGGGGGTAACATCCCCAGTTCTGAAGAGTGCAAACCGCCAGGCAGGTTGGGGGGCACGGCACCGCAAGGTCACGTTGACTCCCGGAGTCACAACTGTGGCAGGGTGAGCCCCCAGCCAGGGCTTGGGGTTTGAGGCTGGCGGAGCTTAATAAAGAGAAGTGCTTGGGTCCTCAGGACCCTCCGTCCCTCCCAGCAGCCCCAGGAGACGTAGAAGAAGTTGGACAGGCACCGATCTCTCCTGATCTTAGATCTCTATAAAGGAGGGGAGGGCCTGGAGTACAATTACAACTGGCCCAAACTAGCTGAAAAATCACAGGAGTAAAACTTTGAGCTTGTTTTGTTTTGGAGGAAGGGTTTCTCTGTGTAGCAGCCCTAGCTGTCCTGGAACTCACTCTGTAGCCCAGGCTGGCCTAGAATTCACAGAGATCCTCCTGCCTCTGCCTTCTGAGTGCTGGGATCTAAGGTCTTCACCACCATGCCCACCTCTAACTGAGTTTTCTGTTGTGGAATATTTGTTTACACTGTGAAGACGTGTCTTTGCCAAGGCACCTTCTGATTGGTTTAATAAGGAGCTGCACGGCCAATGGCTAGGCGGAAAGAGGTTAGGGGGGACTTCTGGGGACGGAGAGGACTCTGGGAAGAAGAAAAGTGGGACACCATTGAGACATGGAAGAGTGGGACACAGAGAATGGGAGAGAGATAAAAGCCACATCGAAGAACATAGATTAATTTTTTAAAAATGGATTAATTTAAGTCATAAGAGCAAGCGGGACAAGCCTAAGCTAATGGCCAAGCTTTTATAATTAATAATAAGTCTCTGTGCCGTTATTTGTGAGCTGGTGGCCCAGAGGAAAGTCTGACTACAGCTTTTCCCTGCAGTTATTTGTTTGTGCCCAGAAGTGAACCCAGGGCCTTATGCATTGTGGGTAATCACTCACTCACCACTAAGATATAGCCTCAAACCTCCTCCATTTTTTTTTTTTTTGAGACAAGTTCTTGTGTAACCCTGGCAGACCTTGAACTTTCTATGTAGAGAAGAATGACCTTGAACTTCTGACCCTTCTGGATTATAAGCATGAGCCACCATCAGGACCACCACCTCCCCTCCCCATCTATGTAGTACTGGGGCCTGGTGGGCAAGCTAAATCCCCAAGCCCTTCTCCGAAATTTTAAGGCATAGTTTCAAAATATAATTTCAGAAATGGTTACTTTGTTTTGTTTGGTCTTATTATTACTGTTTTTTTTTGTTGTTGTTCATTTGTTTGTTTTGAGACAAAGCCTCACTGTGCAGCTCAGTTTGTTCTAGACCTCACAGTGGTGCAGGCTGGCTTCAAACTTGTAATCCTTCTGCCTCCGCTTCCAATTGCTAGGCTGACAGCTGTGTACCACCACACCTCACTACAAGCAGTTAAGGTTTGCCACATGTCAATAATTACTGCTACGGTCTGAACATGTCCCCCAGCTTAATCTTTGATATAATGATGTTGAAAGGTGGGTCTTTAACAGGTCATAGACTAGTGAACTGAAGAGATGACTCAACAGTTAAGAGTGCTTGCTGCTCTTGCAGAGGACCTAGGTTTGGCTTCTAGCACCCACACTGAGCAACTTATGACTACTTGTAACTCTAGTTCCAGGGGGATCTTGACATCTCTGGCCTCTGCAGGCACCTGCACTCAGGTACGTATACTCCCATACAGACACAAACACATACACATAATTAGAAAAACAAAAATAAATCTTTCTTAAGTAGGTGATAGAACAGTGGGGTACATGTAACTATTCCTCAGTGAGGGCTAGGGGGTGTGGCTCAGTGGTAGAACATCTCTCTAGAATGCCTCGGTGAGGGACTGGGAGTGTTGCTTGGTGAGAGAGTACTAGCCCACGATGAACAAGACCATAGTTTCAAAGCATCCCTAATACATATCCAAACAACAAAAACATAACATGGTCAATGACCCAGTAATTCCACTGCCTCAGAATACATAAGCAAACTCTTATTTGTAAATAAATTTAAAATGTAAAAATAACTGTAATGATTGGGAAATATCTCCAAGACAAATTGTTAAGTCTAACATTTAAGATCCAGAGCAGAATGGGTCATGAAATACCAATTTTGATCTGTCAAGAAAAGGGGGAAGTGTGTAAATGCGTGATGTGTATGAATGCATGGAAAGCTTTTTGTAGGATCTGAAGCTTGTTTCAGGAACACAGGAAGGGGAAGAGGAAGATTGTTATATCTTTTGGTAATGACTGAGTCTTTATAACAATGAGTACCCATTAGCTGTATCATTTAAAATAATAGCCAGGTGGTGGTGGCACATGCCTTTAGTCCCAGCATTTAGGAGGCAGAGGCAGGCAGCTCTCTGTAAGTTCAAGGCCAGCCTGGTCTACATAGTGAGTTCCGGGACAGCCAGGGATACACAAAGAAATCCTGTCTCAAAAAAAAAAAAAAGAAAGAAAGAAAGAAAATAATAATAATAAAAAAACAAATTTAAGGGGCTGAAGAGATGGCTCAGTGGTTAAGAGCACTGACTGATCTTCCAGAGGACCTGAGTTCAATTTCCAGTACCCACATGGCAGCTCACAACTGTCTGTAATTCCAGTTCCAGAGGACCCAATATCCATGGCAAAACACCAACGTACATAAAATAAAAATAAATAAATTAAAAAAAAAACAAATTTAAAATCAGGGGACTAGACAGATGGCTCAGCAGTTAAGAGTACTTGCTGCTTTTGCAAAAGACTGGGGTTTGATTCTCAGCACCACATGGTGGCTCATAACCACCTGTAACTCCAGTTCCACAGGATCCTCAGCTTTCTTCTGAGCTCTGCCAGCTCCAGACATGGATGTGGTGCACATACATGCATACAGGCAAAATGCTCATACACATAAAATGAAATAGTTAACTGATAACTCAGCTATGAATGGCTTCCCAGATGGTTCTCATTCAAAACTGGAGTACAATGGGAGAAAGGCTGGGAGAAAGGAAACACCGTCTCCATCAGAAAACCCAAGGTGAAACCATCCTAGGGTAGGGGAATCCTCCTTTTGTGGAAAGCAGTTTCCAGTGAGAGAAGCTGGTATAATGGGCATTGCAGGAAATCCTGTCTGGACTATGCCAGGATCTGAGCCTACAGTTGACCTACATAATCATATTAAATCCTTACTGCAGCCATTTTCCAGAGAAGGAGATGGAGTCTTCAAGACCCTGGTTTTTTCAAGGCCATGCAACGAAGAAGATGGTCTAGTTTAGGTCTCCTTAGTATCCACATTCATGGTCTTCTATACTCACCTCTAAAGGTCACTAAAGGGATGAAGGGAAGAGAAGGGAGAAGAGAGGGAAGGGAAGGGGCCAAGGAGGAAAGGAATGGAGGAGGGAGGAGAGGGGGGAGGGGGGAGGGGAGAGGAGACAAGAGAAAAAGAAGAAAGAAAGAGAACAAGGGAGTTAGGGGAAACGAAGGGATGGAAAGAGGGAGAAGGAAGAGGAAGAGAGGCGAATAAGGAAATCTGGGGTGAGGCTTGGCGTCAAAATAAAGTGGTTTGGTGGAGATGGGGTGTGAGCAGCATGAAGGAGAGCATTGGGGGAATGCCACTCACCTGTCGGTGCGAAGTCCGCGTGACACACAGGCCCTGCAGAAGGTTAGGAGCCAGTTCTTTCCAAAGCTTCTGACTACCAGTCTTCCCTCACTGAGAGCCCTAGAGTCTGACTACATAGTTTCTTTTTCCTCTGGGAAATAAAAATCCTATCCCTGTCTTCTTTAGGATCCAGCAAAACTCTAGACTTCCATTCTCCAGGTACTTAAGAAGCCAGTGGTCTGACCCAAGAGAGCGGGCCTTTGTTCTCCCTCTTGGGGTTTGGAAGTCTGGATGTGCTCCTCTTTCCAGTGCAGGAGTCCTGCCCATCTGTCATGAGAACTGAATATATTCCTTGACCCTAGATATCACTTACTTTCCTCCTGCCTGGAGATCCAGAGAAATCTATGCTCACCCCAGACCCAGCAGTCTGTCTTCCCCCATTTAGGACTCGAGTGTCTGGGTACCAGTCCTGACTCTTTTTTTCTAAACTGGATGTTGATTCCAGATAATCAGATAAGGCTCTCAGCCCAGCCAAGCACCCACCCACACACAGGGGAGGGACGGCTCACAGAAGGTCAACAGCTGGAGTATCAGCGACAGGATCATGGCGGGCACTCCGTGGAGCTGAGGAAAAGGCGGACCCTGCCTTCTGTCCTCTGAGGAAATGAAGCAGCACCAGAAAGCCATGTGAGAGCCCTGTTTAGGGAAGAGAGGAGTCAGGTGGGGGCCCCTGGGTAACCGTGTCATTGCCGCATTGTCTTGGAAAAAGTTGCAAGAGGGACAGTCAGAGCCTCCGGTATTCATTAATTCCATTTAAAAGTGGGGGAGGAGGGTTGGGGATGTTGTAGCGAAGGGGGAGACTGCTTGCCCAGTGTGTTCTAGTCCCAGTGGTGAGAGGAGAGAGGAAAAAAAGGAGGAGGGGGAAAAACAAAACAAAACAAAACGAAAAGGAGGAAAGGGGAAAAGATCCTTGGTGCACAATATACACTATGCTGGTGAAAAAGAGAAGGCTCAGACTCCATCAGTGCCTCACAGTCCCGGGTCTCGCTGGCTCAAGCCGATAACTTTTTTTTTTAAGTGATGTGCACGGTCTTGAAGGCTCGGGCTTGTAATCCCACCTACTTTGGACAACCAAGGCAAGAGGACCCCATGTTCAAAGCTTGAGGCACCAACCTGAGCCATTTAATGAAACCCTGTCTCAAAATAAAAACTAGAGATAGGGCGCGAAAATGTGGCAGTCAACAGTAAAGGACTTGCCTAAAATCCACCAGCTACAGCCTGGGGGCGTGGTTCAGTGGTAGATGGGTAGTCTAGCCTGTTCTGGTTTCAATCTCCAGCAAGACTGAGGGGCGGGGGGAAAAAATGCGGTGAGCTGCATGCACACTAGTAACGTAAAGCACAGAAAGTCCTTAATCTGCCGGGCGGTGGTGGTGCACACCTTTAATCCCAGCACTCGGAAGGCAGAGGCAGGTGGATATCTGTGAGTTCAAAACCAGCCTGGTCTACAGAGTGTGTTCCAGGATAGCCAGAGCTACACACAGAGACACCCTGTCTCGAAAAACAAACAAAACAAAACAAAACAAAAAGTCCTTAATTTATTTGGTATCGATTTAGAACTTCCAGAGGGAGGGGCTGTCTAGATGTGACCTCATTGTAAAGCGGACTTTCTTGCCGGAGAACTCCAAGTTACTCCTTTGACGCACTTTTTTTAAGCTAAAAGAAAAAGTTGAGACCAGCAGGTGTGCAAAGTCCTTGTGGTTTAAATCTTTGCCGCCAAGGTTCTCTGCTCTAGTTTAAAACGTCGGCTAAGCCTCACTCGGGAACTACAACTCCCATAAGGCTCCACGCCCTCGCCTTCCCACTCCGCTACTTCGACTCGGAAAGGCGCAGCCCAAGGGGCGGAGCCTCGCGCAAAGGAAGGGACCACAACTCCCAGAGAGCTCCGCGCCCTGGTCGCCTCCGAGACCAAGATGGCCGCGAGTAAGTACTGGCTCGGGAGGTGCGCGGGGCTCAGGTAGTTCCCAGGGAGCCGTGGGCTGGCGGGTGACTGAGGCTCAGCAGAGCTCTGGGGGCGCGGTGGGGTCCGTCCCAGAAGAGGGACGCGGCGGTCACGAGGGTGCTCTTGCAGGGTAGAAGTGGTAGGTGAGGGAGGGTTAGAGGTCACCGCAGCAGCCCCCAAGGGTGACTCTTCTCCCGCCTCTCCAGGAATCTCCGCCTTCCTTAAAAATGCCTGGGCGAACCAGCCGGTGCTGGTGGTGTCCTTCTCCATCTGGGGTCTCGGTGAGTGCTCCAGGAGCAAGTGTGCGTCCTCCACCCTGAGGACATCAGCGTTCCACAGTTCATCTTGCAGCCCCCTTGCCCTTCCGTTCCGACATTACCGTAGCCTCCGTTCCTCAGCACCCTACACACACCTACGCAGGACAGCCTCACTTGTACTTTGACTTCGAAGTGCAGAAAAGCCTGTCTTAGGCAGATCTCCCAGCAAGCCTCTCTGGTGAAGAACCTGCCTTGGGACAGGGCTGTCCACAGTTCGGATGCACTGGAGCCCTGGGGGATGGGGGTGACCTGTTAAGCAAATTCTGATGACGACGGTCTGGGGAGAGGCCTGTGGTTTGGTAGTTATCACAGTCCCATAGTTATTGTCAGTATCGCCGAGCCGGAGTGTGATAATGAAGTTCTAGGACCCTCCCCCCTCCCCCCCCCCCCCCCCCCCGCCGCTACCCTAACTTCAAAGACCTAGAATACCCTAAAGTATGTGGTTTTAATGTAGAAAACGTTAAGATAATTATTTGAGGCATACTGATTCGTTCTTTAAATGTAAAATTACATTTGTGTGTGTGATTATCACCAGTTGGTTGTGGAGGTCAGAGGACAACTTGCTGGAGTCAGTTCTCTCCTTCCGCTCTGGGAGTCTCAGGCATTGAACTCAGGTTGTCAGCCTTGGCAGCAGGTACTTTGACTTGCTGAGCTCTCTCACAGCTCCAAGGTTAAATACTTTCTAGAACTGATTTTATTTTTACCTTTTCAGTTTGTTTGTTTGTGTTTAAATATAGGGGAACACACAAAAATTTATTTAGCCCAAGCTGGCCTCAAATTCACAGCAGTCTGCTTTGGCTTCTCAAGTTTTATTACAGACACAAGCCAATCTTTTTT